GGCGCCGGCTTAGAGGAGGAGTCGTCCGGGTCGAAGCCGTCGGCCGTGGCCGACGTGGAGGCGACCATGGTGGAGAGCCACGCGAACCTTCGGGTGCTGTCCCGGCGCCGGCCGAGGCAGCTGCTGCGGCTGGTGCTGGGGCTCCAGGGCCACCGCGTCACCGTGCTCCACCTCAACATGAGCAGCGCCGGCCACATGGTGCTCTACTCGTTTAGCCTCAAGGTACGCCATCCACAGCCTTCTTGCTACATTTCCTCGTAAACAACTACAGGCTACATGGCTCTCAGTCCAAGGAGTATAGTACTCGTACCTGGTTCGCAATACCACGCTTGGATGCGGGAGGCAAAGTGGGTGCCTAGGTTTCCGTGCCTGTTTTGGACCTTGCATTGTCTCCAACAGCTGCTCCAAATTCCCCCGTCAGTTTACTTTATCGTTATGGTTTAATAATATCATGGAGCAGATCAAGGTTGCATTTCTTTGACTTTCTGCTGAGGGATCATCATATGGTGAATACAGGTGGAGGATGATTGCCAGCTTACCTCCGTGGATGAGATTGCAGCTGCGGCTCATCAGATTGTCGAGAAGATCAATGAAGAACAAGGCTGCAGCTTAGAATAGGATCAAGCCCGTGCTTTCTTGCATGTAACTTTTCTTTAGCTCCTGTAGCAAGTGAAGTGATTCCCTTTGTGCAAACGAATAATAATGTACTAATCAGCCTAGCTGGTCTTTGGAACAGTAGTATGCATAACCCCTGTCTTTGTCCATAGATAATGCCCATGGCCGCCAGGCATGCAAGGTCCCTCCTCCGTCTCTGAACGAGAGCTCTGGCTACAGAACAGCTCCAATTCCATGGCGCTGTGGAGACGTGGAGTGGAATGGAGAACAGCTCCAATTCCCTTGTGTCCTTGTGGGTGCTACCGTGCTACCACACGATCTGACATTACTGGCACTAGCAGGTGCTGTTTCAGACCTGGAAGAATTCTGTATTTCTGTTCCCCTTGTGAAGCACCACCGCCCCATGCCAAAACGCCAAAAGATTCTCAACTCATGTCATCCTGTGCACATGGTTTGCAAATTCCTTTCTTGAATTTCCGTTCTGCTCCATTCTTTAAATTTTAGTGCCGAGGGGGGAATGTTAAGCTGGTGCAAAGTATATTCATGCTGCGGTCATAGAATAAAAGAGCCGTGAAAACAACAAACGATAATACACATAGATCCTTATTGGGCTCAAATTAAAGAGCCTATACCAACTACCATAGATAAAAAAAAGTTTCAGCAAATAACATACTAGTATTGCTTTTCAGAGAACAGGTATGGAGTACCGTGGAGTGTGGACATCAAAGCGTGACTTTGGCATCGTTTAGATGCTGAAAAAATTTCAAACTGATGAATAGTAACACTTTCGTCTTATTTGACAAATATTGTCCAATCGTGGACCAACTAGGCTCAAAAGATTCATCTCGTGATTTCCAACTAAACTGTGTAATTAGTTTTTTTTTTACCTACATTTAATACTCCATGCAAGCGGCTAAAAATTGATGTGATGGAGAGAGAGTGAAAAAACTTGGAATTTTGGTGGCATCTAAACAAGGCCTTTGAGAAAAAAATACAAGAAAGGAATACGTCCCCCTCAACCCTCATTGACCCAAGAAAAGGTTCTAGAACAGGGCACCTTTGCCTGATCGGCCTTTTACCATTTCTGTCAAAGCATGGCTCATCAAACAGTAAAAAGAACTGCACGGACAATTCACCCATGCGATGCTTTCATCTGATTGATTCTACCAACAGGACAAACTACATGTGCATCTCGCTCGCATGCAGAATGTCGTTGTCGCTCTTAAAATGTTATACTACTCTGAAGGAATGTAATTTGGTAAAAGAAAAGAAAAGAAAAGAAAAGGGAAGCCACCGCACCAGCGTAAAAATAAACAGAAGAAGTTAGCGGAGTCCCATACATGATGCATCGACCAATTCACTCAAAACTTTGGGTTGCCACATAAAGATGAATGAACAGTTGTACTTCAAATATTTGGCGTGAATACTACATGGATGTGCAGGCATGTGAGTATACATGGAAATCACAGATCTATGTAGCAAGAATGATAAGTGTACTGATAAGATCACAGAAATAGATCATGATATGGATACACTTAAGGGCGTATTGTATATTGATACAGCAGAATGCAGGACAAAGGGGGAAAAAAGTGGAACAGCATGGTTTTAAGTAAACAAACATATGTTGGACGCCAAGACAAGACTGTTCTTAGTTAAGTGGACTGACCACAGCTTAGCATACTAGTCAATGTGAAAACCAATCTCAACGACTTAACAGCTTGTTTCAGGATTCCATAGGGATAGCAACAGAAAACCTGCATGCCATAAGTTGAGCACTCGAACCAAAGCAAAAGCATGGTACCAGGAATATTATAGTTAGTTGTAATTGGAAAAAAAAATACTTAAATGATGTATGATGGGAGACAAAAGTCAGTAGACTAATGTAATTAGTCACAACGAACCAAGACTCCCAAGAATGACACCGGCAGAAGGCATCAAACATGTCATTCCAAAATATATGGTATTACACTACAATTTCAGTATTGTTGTCTTGTTCTCACCAACCAAACTAGCCCGTGAACAACTGGAGATCAGCATCAGTTACCCTTAACCCCATCAAACAGCAAATAGACAACAAATGGACAGTTCAACAGATGCATAAATAACTCCACTTGGAGAAAAAGACTGGGAAAGGGAAAAAAAAAAGGAAGACAACAATGGAGGAAGAGATGAAATGAGGCAGAGAGTCAAGCATAAGTGGATTTTCAGTGGTTGTCAAAGGAAGCAAAAGATACAGCAGTTACTTTAAAAAAAAAGGAAGACAACAATGGAGGAAGAGATGAAATGAGGCAGAGAGTCAAGCATAAGTGGATTTTCAGTGGTTGTCAAAGGAAGCAAAAGATACAGCAGTTACTTTAAAAAAAAAAGATACAGCAGCATCATAGCAAAAGACCAGTGAAAATAGATTGCCGGTGGTTGGTGTACTATCTAATCATGCAGTACAACTTCCTCTAAGCTTTAGCTCCAGAACAAAAATGGCGTACTTTACACGTCTGTCAGGAAAGGAATTCAGAAGTTGATGGTGGGAGGAAAGCTTTGAAGTTTATTACTCAAACTTCTACATACTGAGACCTTGTCAAAGGTTTATGCACAGGAACCTCATACCATCTCAAGTAGATGAAAAAGAAAATGTTAAAGCACCAAAAGAGTTGATGCAAAATTATTTTTCCTTCATCATTCAGTAAAAGTGGTAACAACTAGAATCAATTACTCTTTAGATTTTGATAGAGTTCAACATGTTTCCTCAACTAGCATTTACAAACGTTACAGTGTGAAAGTGATCTTTAAGTTGTCATTTTAGTATACTTTGTGTTCTTAAGTGAATTCCTTGACAGGTGAGCATGTTTGTTGATATATCGATTAAAGACTGAGGCATAGAACAGAATGTTGATGTAGTGACCCCATACTTTTTCATACTTGGAGAGCTGAGAGACATGCTTTACCTACCGATTCCCACAAAAAAAATGATTTAGCTTACCAAACTCAATTACTTTAAGAACGAATTTGTGAGTTGTTTTTCTCACCATGCAGCTCCTAAGTTTCCTAAAGATGCATTTTTGTGATCATGTTCCTTGCCATTAACCTCCTAAGCACTATGACAGTTTACAGTTAGCATTAAAACGACACCAGAAAAGAGTAGAACATGGAGACGAAATCTGCACTCACAGTAGCAAAAAACAATGTGATGCAGAGCAAATGGAAATGAAATATTGTGTTATTTCTTATTTCAATTTGTTATTAGAAAACTCAATTAAAACATGCAAACAGGATAAGGCTTGTACCAAGTATCTCAAACTATTAGAGAGGGTTAAAATTAGAAATGATAGTTATTCATGTTAGTAATTTTAATTTTTAAGTACTAAGAGTTGTGAGAAAATCTGGCACCACTGGAGAAATAAAAAAAAAGTTTTCTCAACAAAGACATACATCAAGTTCATAATAGCTGGATTCCATTGCATTCAGGCTTCTTAATTCATCATTTCATCATGAAATAACTTTATGTAGTACTATCTTAGAAGCAATCAAATCAATGTTGTAATCAAATATCTCACATAAACCAAAGCTACATGGCCATGGCCAAGAACAACTTTAGATCTAAAACATGAATACTATCTAAGTCCACGAGTCTTGCAATACTATCACTTATGTTTAATAAAATGTACAAAAACTTGGTAAACATTACCGAGGGCTCAGCCATCAGGTACCTCAATTTGGTGAACTTCCCACCTTGACATACAGGAGAACCCCATAGTATTGTATCAGCAGTTCATTTCCTACCCCTGTCAATAGGAAAAGCCCACATGCAAAATCTGAAATAAGTTAGCACACTAAATATTCTGTTACTAGTTGTGCTAACTGGATCTTAACATTCACATGATAAATAAGGCAACCACATGCTAAATTACTAATTTAAGTTTGCATTCAATACATGCTCAATGCTATCCAAACAAAGAAGACATCTAATAATACCATACACCACCAACAGGAAGTACTGGTCTCCCCAGCTAGGCAGGTACAGATTCTTAATTTAGTATGTTTGCTTCATTCCTTTTTTGAGGCAAATAGAGTTGATATAGGTGAAAGTCCATTCCTTCTTGCATGATTACTAGTACATAACAAGTATATATGGAGAAGCCAAACATCAGCTTCCCCAAATTCACTCAAGCCAAGCTTGAAGTTATCATACAGGAAACTTGGGACTTCGAAGCTAACATAACCGTATCACTCTCGTTATCGGCAACAGTTGATCTCATCAATAATTCACACCTCAAAGGAGATTTTCTCCGAGAGCAACTTCAGCTCTCTGCACTTTCTATCAACAGACACTGACACACTACCAGCTCCCGGCTTTGCTGAGGCTGCAACCCATTGAAAAACATACCGACTCACAGTGGCAGCACAGCACCACTGGAGCGGCCATTCCGTGAGAAGAAGAACCCCTGGCCACTGCTTGACATGGACCTGCCAATCTTGAACCGGCCTGACTGACAAGAGGACGAAGAAGTGCCTGCTGCCTCCTTCTCCTTCGCCCTGAAGACCTTCATCTCTCGGGCATTTGGCAACTTGCAACTATAGCGCACGACATCATCCTGAGCTTCAGGAACAGCCACGAGAAACAATGGAGAATCCATGGACGCCGAGCGCCTAATTGGCTTGGGCGTGGCCCTTCCATCCTCCTCCGCTGTAGGCGTTGTGCCTTCACTTTGAGTGCCTGACGAGGCCTCAGAGTCCTCCGAGCCCTCAGTCTCCGATTCAGATTGGGACAGCGACATTTCCTCATGAGCATGGTGTTCTCCCGATGGGGCACCACCTGGCTCAGCCTCCGCGGCAGCGACGGGGAGCTCGGAGGGAATGGCGACGACGGGGGAACGGCAGATCGGGCAGTTGACGTGGGCGCGGAGCCAGGTGTCGATGCAGGGCGCGTGGAACGGGTGCGCGCAGCGCGGGAGGAGGCGCACCAGCTCCCCGTCGCTGAACTCGCCGAGGCACACGGCGCAGTCCCCGCCCCGGCCCACCCCGCGGCGGTACTCCACAGCGGCTATGGACGCGATGGTGGCCTCGTCGAGCCCCACCGTCCGGATGTACCACACGTGGTGCACCACCCCTCCACCGCCCCCGCCCCCGCCCTCCTCCTCGTCGCCGAACCCTCCGTCGTCGTCGGCACCTTCAGCGGCGGCCGCCGCGGCGAGGCGGCGGCGGCGTCGCAGGATGAGGCGGCGGCGGCGGTAGAGGAGGAGCGTGGAGAGCGCGAGCGAGAGGAAGAGGAAGGCGGAGAGCAGGGAGATGACGAGGAGGAGGCGGACGGGCGAGTGGCGGTCCGCGACCGGCGCGAGCGGGATCACCGGGAGCGGGGGCGGCGGGGGCAGGGCGTACTCGGAGCAGGCCTCGCCGCCGCCGGGGCAGAGCGGGAGGCAGTCGAGCGGTGCTTCCGTGCAGTTGAGGGTGACCGTCGCCGCCGCCGCATGTGGGCGCACCGTGTACATGGCTACCTTGGCTGGGACAGCGGCAGCGGCGGAGTTGGCTAGGGCTCGGCGGCGCGCATCGGAGAGGCGGCGGCGTGCGCGGGCGCGAGGGGGGGCGGTGGTGGTGGGCTGGTCTGGGTGGGGAGGGGATACGTGGAGTGGATTTGGCGATGTTGGGTTTGGTAAGGTTTGGCGAGCTGCAGGAGCAGCAGCAACTTGGGGTGGTGGAGGCGTGTAGCTGGAGCGCATGGACGGCCGATGGCGACTGCGACTGCGACTGCGACTGCGACTGCGAGCACCCAACACCTACGACTTTGCAAACACTTTCTCTGACACTGTGGGCTCAATAAGTCCTGCTACTATTCTGAGCCCACCAGTCGGTGAAGAAACGCTGTTCCGTGATGGCGTTTCCTCGTGCGCTGAGCAGCAAGCCTGTATTGGGTTATGGAAAGTCAAACGCTAGTTGGGCCCAGATTAGCCTCCACTGTCCACACATGGAGGACTGGAATGCCGTGTCTACGTAAATCAAAGCCGTTGATTCCAGTTCAGACGGCTGAGATGTAATCATGTGAGAGGTAAAGAGACTCATTAACGGCTCCGCTCAGCAGGCAGTGACCGATGATTAGCGTGCCCTGAGCTGGAGTGCCAACAAAGGGTAATTTTGACCTATGGAGTCGGGTGATTTGTTAGGCAAGTGCTGGTAATTAATCAATGTTTCAACGCAATCAGTGGGTAAATCATGTGTCACATCGGACACGAACACGGCAGATAGTCAATCCGCTGTTGAATATTTCCGGTTGCTCTGAATACGTCGCCGTTTGATTTGAACACACTGTATTTGAGTAAAATTGATTTACTACGTCTAGAAGATTTGAGCACCCAATTTGACTGACACGAGAGAAGACGGACTCCATTTTAGAGGGCGCCCTCTGCCCCCGAACCCGTGACACACACATGCCACCCCAGTCGCCACATGTTGAGCTCGAGTTTATCGTTCTCTTCGCTCTAGCTCCATCCAACCGATCCCAAAAAGATCCCAAATTGATGATAAAAAACAATACGACTTGCCGTTTGATTGCTGCACTCGGTATTAGACGTGCTTGGCGACCAGCGTTGTTTGTGCTGCAGCTGTGCCGCAACAGCCCATCGGCTGTTGTCAGCTATCGAAAATGTGAGACCAAAAACAGCAGCTTGCTATGGCTGCTGATATCTGGCTGTGGGCTGTGGCTGATGTACACTCACTTAAAGACGTCGTCCTCATATTTTTGACGCGAGAGGGTCATAGGAATTGGCTCGTGGGGCATCTTGAGGTTCTAGGGTTGGATGGCGATTTTAAGAATTCTATATCCGCTATTACACAGGTTCTTTTGGAGATTTTCAAAATTTGTGTCTTCAATTTTTAAATCGGTTTTAGAATCCAACTAGTTTAGATGGGATAGATCTTTTAACGGAATTTATAATTCCAAACGAGGCTATGTTGATGAGGGCTAGTTAGGCCTAGCAGGCGATGACGACGATGTAGATGCAGGAGGAGCGCTAATGAGGCTGATGAGGCTGATAAGGCTGATGAAGGTGGTGAGCATGAGCGCCACCACCTTGGCCTCCATGCGGTAGAACCGCTCGCTCGTCAACGACACCATGATCACCAGTGACGTCACGAACGTCGTGGCATTGAAGTAGTAGAAGTTCATGTACCACGCCCAGTGCCTATCTCGGAGCACTAGGTTGCCGTCGTGGTGGCCGTCCTGCTAGAGCTCGTCGGGCGGGCTCAGGCCAGCTTGGTAGGTCACTGACGCCGTGACGGTGGCCAACACCATTAGCCACTCGCGCATCTCTTTGAACCACTTCTTGCGCTGCGCCACCGGATCTTCGTCGTCCCTCGCCTCGAGGAGGAGGACACCCTAGAAACCCATGCCCATCATCTCCTCCGCAGTGGTATGGCGGCCTCGGCCATCACATTTGCAATCAAAAACCCGAAATATGTAATGTTGGGCTTTCTACCATTCAAGAGCTCATATGATGTCTTCTCCTGCAATGTGTGACAATAGAGGCAGTTGCTGCAATAGCAAGACGTGTTGATTGCTTCGGCCCAAAAGGATTGACTCATATTGTACTCACTAAGCATAGACCTTGCCATATCAATAAGTGTTCTATTCTTTCTCTCAATAAAACCATTTGATTATGGAGTGCACTTAGCCGAGAATTGATGTCTAATTCTAAATTCATCACACAACTCATCAATTCTTGTGTTCTTGAGCTCACTACCATTGTCATTTCTAACCCTCTTGATGGTTGTTTCAAATTCATTGTGTATGCCCTTGATAAATGATTTGAATGTTGTAAACACATCACTTTTGTCCACTAGAAAGAATGTCCAAGTGTATCTTGTATAGTCATCCACTATCACAAAGCCATATTTGTTTCCACCAATGCTAGTGTATTGTGTTGGCCCAAACAAATCCATGTGCAATAACTCAAATGCCTTGCTAATGCTCATTATGCTCTTCTTAGATGGGTGTTACCAACTTGTTTGCCGGCTTGACAAGAGCTACAAAGTTTATCCTTCTTAAATACCACATCTTTCAAGCCTCTAACTAGATTATACTTAACCAATCCATTCAATTGTTTTATTCCAACATGACCAAGTTTTATATGTCATAACCAATCTATACTAGACTTAGTGAACAAGCATGTTGACAATTGAGCTTCACTAGCATTGAAATCAACCAAGTATAGATTCTCATATCTAAAGCCTTTGAAGATCAAATTAGAGCTATCTACACTTATGATCTCTACATCATCTACTCCAAATATGCATTTGAATCCGAGATCACACAATTAAGCCACGGATAGCAAATTGAAGTTCAAGCTCTCAACTAGCAACACATTGGATATGCTTAAGTCATTAAATATTACAATCTTACCAAGTCCTTTGACCTTGCCTTTGCCATTGTCACCAAATGTGATACTATCATAACCATTGCTATCATTGATGTTGATTGAGTTGAACATTCTTGCATCATCGATCATGTGTTGAGTGCACCCACTATCAAGAATCCAATGCCTTCCTCTGGCTTTATAATTGACCTACAAAAGAAGATCAATTCTTTTTAGATACCCAAACTTGCTTGGGTCCTTGAAGGCTAGTGACCAAACTCTTTGGCACCCAAAATGGCTTTCTTCTTTGAGCCCGCAATTGGTTTACCAACAAACTTAGCCTTCACTCCATTCACACCCTTGGTAAGAATGTAACAAGAATCAAACTTAATTAAGGATACATTAGTGTTCTTGTTCTTGTTCTTGCAATATTGCTCTACATACCCAACTTGCTTGTATCTATTGCAAAACTGACCATTATTCTTCATAAAACTAGTATTCTGAGGAGCAAAGGCTGCCTTGCCTTTCTTGGGGGTATAGCCCAATCCCTCTTTGTTGAGAGAAAATCTTTGGCTACCCAAGCACTTTAGTAAGCAGGCCTCACCACCATAGGCATTGCCTTAGACGCGAGTGAGCTCATTTACCTCCTTCTTGAGGGTCTTATTTTCAACTATTAGTGAGGTATCACAAGTGAAACCATCACTACTAGATGAGCTAGAAGTGGAAGTGCTACAAAAAGAGTTAGTGCGAGCAACAATGATAGGCTTATAGAAAGACTCATCAATTATTTCACAAGTTAAGCCCACGTCGCTTTTTCAAGCTTCTTGTGAGCCTTGCCAAGCTCCTCATGGTCTTCCTTTAGACTCTCATGAGATGCATTGAGCTCATCAAAGGCTTGCTTATGGGCTTTTAGTTCCTTACGTAAGCTTTTGCATTCTCTTCTCTTAATGTTAAAATGTTTCTTAGCATCATCTAACATGTCAACTAGTTCATCTTTAGTTGGTTCATCATCATCATCACTATCATTTTCATTTTTATCATGTTCCTCTTTATCACACTCATTATAGAATGTTACCTTAGTGGCCTTAGTCATGAAGCATGTCGATGGAGTGTCAAAGAGAGAAGGCTTCTCATGTATGGCAATGCTTGCAAGAGCCTTCTTTTTGGTGGTCTTGTCATTATTACTATCATCATCATCACTTGAGGAAGCGTCACTATCCCACGTGACCACATATGAACCACCCTTCTTCTTGAAGGTTATCTTGTCCTTCTTCTCTTTCTTTTACTTTTTGTCCTTCTTCTTGCTCTTCTTGTCATTATCATCATTGTCGCTATTGTATGGGCATTGAGCAACAAGATGATCCTTGCTTCCACACTTGAAGCACCTTGATTCTTCCTTGTTCTTGATGAAGACTTCTTCCTTCTAGCACGATAGCCCTTCTTCACCATGAACTTACAAAATCTCTTCACAAAGAGAGCCATCTTCTCATCATCATCAAAACTAAAGCACTAATCTTCATTTGAGGTGTCTTGCTTTGCCTTGTCCTTCGATGAAGTGGCCTTGAATGCCACTCTTGTTCTTCTTCTCATCCTTCTTGTCTTCTTTCTTCTCCTTCTTCTCTTCCTTCTCATCATCATCTCTATATGTGTCACGGTCATCACATTTCCTAATACTTAGTTTGGTATCATGGTGTCCAAACCACTCCTCACTAGAATAGTGACCAATATGTCAAATCTTGATGGCAAGCATCTCAAGAACTTGTGGGAGTAGTCTTTGTCCTTCACCTCTTCTCCAAGTGCTTTGAGATCATTAACAAGCACTTAAAGCCTATGAAGCATCTTCGATACACTCTCATCTTCCATCATCTTGAAGCTAGCAAACTTCTCCTTGAGGATGTATGCCTTGGCACCCTTCACCACTTGTGTGCCCTCAAATGATTCCTTCAACTTCTTTCATGCCTAATGAGTCATCTCAATGTTCTTGATTTACTCAAATGTCCTCTCATCCACAGCATCATGAATGACACTAAGAGCACTGTCATTATTTTGGAGCAATACTTCTTCGGCGACGGTGGGAGTTTCGACATTGGCAACCTCAATCTTGCTCTCCACCACCTTACAGATCTTTCTATTGATTGACTTGA